CCATTTCCCTCCGCCAATTGTGGCCATGAATGGCTGTTGGTTTTCGTTTTGTGTGCAACTCCCTAAACCTGGAAATCTGGCTCAGACTCCTCTGGAGTTTACTATACTTTCTGCAATCGACCGCAGCCAGCTCTAACAATAAACTAATGAAAACGTCAACGCTTGCGCAGAAAGTCATTGTGCTCGACCGTTGTCTTACCTATATTATGCCAGTATTTAGCAATATTTGCACTTCAACATCAACAGACTTATGTATCCGCGATGTACGTACAAACTATTCACATGCACAATGACTCCGCTCTTTCGCTTACAACTCTCTTTTCTTGATGGTTTCGTTTCCATTCTTTCTTTTGTCAGGGGGTTTGTTCGTCTGCTTTCAAAGGAGGTTCGGACGGCGAGTTTTGTGGCAAAGAAATTGATCTCAAATTCTTAGGAAACTTTATTGCCCGTTGAACTTGCGAAGCAACAGGCGGAACCTACTGTGGTGGTGAGCTACCTCTCTTGATCTGATTCCTTTCTAAGGTTCATGTTTACTTGGATATTTGTTTAGATCGTTTGTTTGTTCTCTACTAGGAGTGGCGACGACTGTTTCACGGCCACTTCATAGCAGATTTTGCACTCTTGACGGTTAGGTACATTCTTTTTATAGGCTGAAACGAATGCAGCATTTTACCTAACAGGAAGCAGCATTTTACCTAGGGGCAGCAGCAGTCGACCCAGCTTGGTTATCAGACTCCAACTTCACCTCGAACTCTCTCGACTCAAATGGCAGAGCCCCAGCAGTGAACAGACTATCACTTACCTAACAGTCTATCACGGTGTGGTGGCTCACACATTTGCTATGTTATGATTCTGTTTCTGTCTTACTCTTCCTTACTGTTTCCCCCATCTCACGAGGATTGCGAAGAAGAGCTGGCTGTAAAAAAAAACTCCTAGGGTTGTGCATTGAGGGGGGATCTGGATTTATATGCTTGAAAATGCTATTGTGCGGATGATTGATTCATGAATGTGCTTGGTTTTAGGTCACTATTACCCCGGAGGTTACTTCGAAGAAGGTCAACAGAGATGTCATTTCTACACTGGACAAGTTATACCGTCAATCTCATTTGGGGAACAAAATGGTAGCCTATGATGGTAGGAAAAGTCTGTTCACTGCTGGGGCTCTGCCATTTGAGTCGAGAGAGTTCGAGGTGAAGTTGGAGTCTGATAACCAAGCTGGGTCGACTGCTGCTGCCCTAGGTTCTATGCATTGAACATGTAAGCAAAGAAATTGTAGGATTCATTGCCTTCCACACCTGAGGTGTTGAGTTGATTACGATATCAATTGTCAGGTTAAGTATTCAATTGACAAGCTCATTAGTATTTGTTTCATGATTATTGACAAATCATGATTGTTTGATTGCATTATAATAACTCTATTTTCATATTTCCCCCTCACTTATGAATTCGAAGATCAAACACTCTAATCCTCCCGCCGCGAAGCGCGGGCTTCCGTACTAGTTGTTATTAATGATATAATCACATGCTGTCGCTATTGTTCTTAGAATTCAAGCTCGGCAAGTGGATATATTGTAAGTGGTTAAGTATCATACATGAACCTATATAAGATCTAACATAACCTTCTTCCAACAACTCGAGTTATTGAGAGCACTGGTTCTTGACATGGTATCAGAGCTGGTTGTTCGTGAGGTCACGTGTTCAAGTCCTCACGACCCCCAATATTAATCGTTGTCTTTCAGCACATGGTAGGATTGGGCCTGTGCAAGAACGGATACTATAACAACACCTATAGTGTTGTTACGATAACAACAGGGGTAAAAACGGAAACTAACAACAAAATTAAAAAAAAAAAATTTCAAGTCATAGCCGCCCAGCTCTCTCTCGATCTCCCGTACGCTCTCCTCTGCTGCCGGCATGAACGCGAGTACGAATCTCATCCCCGGCCATTCCTTCTTTCTTCCGCCGTCGAGGTCGCCAGTCCTCCTCCCCTTCTTGTTCGTCGTCGTCCATCTTTAGCTCGTCGGTGGCCTGCAAAACAGAGCATCTGGACAGAGGGGAACAACCACAACAACAACGATTCACCACACACGCATACGGAATCATCGTCGTCGATCTGTCCGGAGCATGAGCCATCGATTTTGTTGACCGTCAATTTTCGATTTATGGATCCGAATTCAGCCTGCGACAACAATCCCTTATTAAGGCCGGTCTCGGTCAGAGATTGAGAGAGCTGACATGGAGAGAACCGATCCTCTTCTAATTGCATATATATTGGTAATATCTCAACCTCGAAAAGCTTACATCTCCGACAAAATCATTAAATTTATTATTCTCAAAGCCCTCACTGTCATCCGAGCTACCATCCCTTACCTACTATTTTACCATTTACTCCACCAATCGGGTCGCTGTTGCAAGATCCAACTAATGGAGTTCACCATCTTGAGATTCATGTATTTGCCTAGCTTGGATGAATGATCCCCAATACTTCTATTGGTGGAATGCATGATGCTAGGGAGGAAGAGTTGTAATTCTCAAAGCTGAGTAACATGGTACAAAGACACTAAATATTAAAGCTAGATTGAGAGTGAAAAATGAAATTTCAATTTAAAAAAGCAAATCAGAAACATGAACTCATGGCGACCATAACTCTCATAAAACATAACAAAAACATTATAAAGCATACTACTAGAAATCACCTAATACATACCACAAATCGCCTAAAATATATCAGAAAACACCACAAAGCAAACCCCAACTATTTATAAAACACACCAAATACCTCCTAATGCAAACCACAAAAGCAATAAAACAAACCATAAAAAGCATGCCAAAAACACCATAATGCATACCACAAATCCACTAAAACATACTAGAAACCCCACAAAGCAAACCACAATTTTTTTTAAAGTACACCAGAAATCTCATAATGCAAACCACAAATATATTAAAACAAACCAGAAACCTCGCAAAGCAAACCACAAAAATTTCGAAAGCACACCAGAAACTTCGTAATGCAAACCAGAAACCTCCTAATGCATACCACAAATCTCCTAAAACAGACCACAAACCCCACAAAGCAAACCACAACATTCGCGAAAGCACACCAGAAACCTCCTAATGCAAACCACAAACACAGTAAATCAAAACATAAAAAAGCAAACCATAAACGTCCTAATGCACACCACAAATATATTAAAACAAACCAGAAACCTCATAATGCAAACCACAAAGTTTTTGAAAGCAAACCAGAAACTTCTCAATGCAAACCACAAACACGATAAAGCAAACCACAAAAGGGATAAAAAAATATGAGAAACCAAACCATAAATCTCACAATGCAAACCATTATATCCGGTGGTCGTTGACCGTTGACCGGTCAACGAATTTCGTTGACCAAACTCCGACGACCGTCAGTGACCGGATTCCGGCGCCGATAGGCATATTCCGGTGCCGATGACTAGATTCCGACGCCGGTAAGCATATTCCGACGACGGTGAGCATATTCCGGTGACGGTGGCATATTCCGATGACGAAAAAGCATATTCCGGCGACGAAAAGCATATTCCGGCGACCAAATTTTTTTGCAGAAAATAAAAAATATTTTTTTATTTTATTTTTTATTTTTTATTTTTTAAACATATTTTCCATAATGACATTTATACCCCTGTTTTGATTTTACACTAGGTCAACTCATCTAATAAAAAGTCATCACAACCCTAGCTTCCTATTGGTTGGAGACTAGTGTTGTTACAATAACAACACAAGGGGTGTTGTTATACTATCTAATCCGGCAGCTGAAACAGAGCATTGGAATGTTCACTTATTTTTATCCAATTTCAGAAAATGTTGATAATGATCCTATGCTAACAAAACGGTCCCAAGAATGGTCATATAAGTTTCGCCTGTTTAACAGAACAGTCACAAATATTTAAAAACTTATATCAAAATGAAAAACGGCATTTACGCTTAATTTCGTGATTCCATCTACAAATCAATTGGGTTGTTGATGTGTCATACGAAAAAACTATCATAGTCAGCTTTTAAAGCTGTGGACGGAAGCACCGTTTTGTTTTTCTATATATACATATATGAATTTTTTGTTAGTTTTTAATGTTTTTGTGACGATAAATTTTTTCTTTAATTTTTAAAGACTTTGTAATAATTTTGTGTCACGCAAACTTGTATTTATTTTTGCCAATTACTCATATTTTCTTAAACGAAATGGTTTAGTTTGTGATGCTAAAAAAATTGCGTAGGGCTCTTGATCTTGCAAACCCTCCAACGTCCAAACCATTAGTAAACAAGAAAGAGTCTCCTATAGAGAAATTCGAACAAGAAAAGAGTCTCATAATCAATGTGGAGGTTTTGGTTGTTGGAGGGAAACAAAGCAAAATGTACCGGACTACACAAAGAATTGGGGCTCATGATGTAAAGTTACTGTCTTTGAACCATGCAATAAGGTCACCCGTAATTAGACTACATGAAAGAATCATTAAAGCTTGCATATCAATCAATGAAGGGATGAAAGCTTCAACAGATTGTAAAATTTCACTACATGGCTTCCTTCCCCTCTCCCTCCCCACATTTTGTAGGCAAAAAGGTAAAAACTTTAAATTGAGTTTGGCCAGCAGAAGTTCAGCACTGTATCTCAGTTCAGATACAGATACATAAGAACGAATCATTAACCATAATCATGCTTCTCTTATGGAACCTTAACAATCTGGTTTCCCTTCCACGTCTCCTGTGTATGGAATTGGAGCACATTCACTCGGACCAAAAAATCTAAGCAAACTTCTGTGGAAAGAATTCTGTTCTTGAGTAGTGTAAAATTTGCATTTCCCTTTTAATAAACAGCTCCCCAAAACCTGTCATATGGACACAAAGGGAAGCATGGCTGTTGAAGAAGTGCTGCAGCAAGAATGGAAGGAAGAGAGAAACGAAAGAAATGCAGAGATGATGGTAATTACATTATACCGTATTCACATTGTAGGTACGTTCTACTAATTGCTCCATAGCTTCTTCCTGGCAATCAGGACTCGCTCTTCACTCACCGAGAGAGCATCAGTGCTCGGTTCAACTTCCGACACCCACCGATCCCACTTCAATGCCGGTAACGACTTCTGGATGTAGCTAATGATCGATGGTTTGTCTCGTATGATGACGAATGCTTCGGGCCTCAGGATCCTATCCATTTCCACGAGCAGGTCTTCGGTACTGCAGCCTCGCTCCTCGAGCTCCGAGAATACTGCCCAGGCATGGAGGAGATCGTATGTTCTCGGATATGTAGAGAATGATTCACACCTGAGTGAAGAGAGAGGCCACAAGTTCCATCAGGATCATTGAATGTAATGCTAGAATCAAGGTTGATAACGTATTTATCGCTATACAGTGATATCCCCCCAAAACAGGTATTATAAGTACTATTGAGTATTGACCCTGTGAATCATTGAGGCTGAAAGAGTGAGAAGAAGGATGAATGAGCTACCAGTCATGAACCGTTCCAATCAAGCCACGATCATAGATGATCTTAAGCCGGGTTGAGATGGTGACTGGAGCAACATTCATCACCCAGACATCTGTATCTTTAAGGGCAGCAGCAAAACCTCCGAGATTTGCATTCATATCCATGACATTCCTGAAGTAGCTCTTCCTCACAACGGATTTCATCTGCTTCCAGTACTCATTCACCCTAAATTTCCATATACGCTGCAAAAATATAATGGGAAGAAGCAAGCCAGCTATCAACATAGAAAAGATCGAGAAGGTGGTTAGTCAAATTAAGCAACGAGTCAAAAAGCCTTACAGTGTCTTCATGGAACTCTTCGGGACTAACACCAATGTCTTCCAAACGAGGAGGCGGTGTGATTAGCCTCTGCGGCCATGGTACGAGTCCAGTCCCTTTCTCCCTGTGCATCTCTGAAAGAAGAAACAAAAAATGAATTGCTAACTTCAGCAAAAGGCTAGTGAATGTCTTAGGTTAATATACCAACTTTGGTCACTGAACATGTGATGGTATGTGTCAAATTAGGTACTGAACTTGATTTCGAAGCAATTTAAGGACATAATTCAGTTAAGTTCAACTTTCAGTAACTTACGTGCAGAGTATTGAGAAATACAGGCCTTCATCTGAACATTCCACACACCATCTGCATCATCCTCAGAGCTACACAAAGGCGGCTGAGTCCCAGGCTCTCTCTTCAAGTAACAACCATTGCTGGTTGGTTTCTGCCAGATCACCGTTTGGTCTTTCTTGGAAGCAACCCTCCAGCACATTCTTTTCAGAAGATCATGCATAGCATTCCCTATCCTTTGGTTCTCCGGATCCTTAGCATACGCCTCAGGGGACGAGTAAACGAAATAGCCTCCTGGTCTCAGCACCCTATCGAGCTCCAACAGCAGGATTCCATCCCTCTGCAGCCAATCAATCCTGCACCTTGAACAATGAGCCAACTCGAACGATCTGCTCGGATACGGAAGCCTCTTGGTCCCCAAGACACCAAGGGTCGATGGAATCCCTCTCTCCAATGCAAACTGTATCTGGTTCTCGTGAACATCATTTGGTGCCAGGGACATGGCTATGGTGCTGTGCTGAAGAAGATAGGCACCGAAGCTTGCCACTCCACAGCCCACGTCTAGGACATTCCTGAGGTTCCCACCATTGTGAAGCTTGTCGTTTGGAAACTTAAGCATCTACATGAATAGGGTAGCTTGTCATATGATCTTGAATGAAGAGATTGTAACAAAACGACAGTAACTTGTGGTGTCTGTGGGGTCGAATTTGTGGCTTTGCATCGAAGGAACGAGAATAAAGGTTCAAAATTTCTCAGCAAACAAATAAGACAGAACAAGTCAAAGAAAGAGAGGGTGGAAAGATGAAAACTTTCTGGGCACAATCAATCATAATTACCCTAGCGAGAGAGACAATGTACTTGTCAGCACCATAATGGAAATGGGTTCCTCCGCCAGGGAAATTGATCTTATCCCCCTTAACAACCATCCAATTCTGATCAGACTTTTCGCTCGCCAAGTGGGTATGTGGGATATTAGCCTTCCACACTTCATCTCTACTCTCCGGCCATCTTATCGGAATCTGAAACTCTAAATGCCAGCATTTCATCACGACAACTAAAACCAAACCAACTCTCCGAAACAAAAACACTCCAGTTTATCCTGCCTAACCTTATAAGCAGCCGGCGGCGGAATCAGACAATTGAGCCGCCGCTGCGGCGGCGGACAGTGCCGCTCGTAGTGCTCCATCAACGACAAGTTCAGCTTCAACCTCAGCTGGTAAATTAGCTCTCTATCCAAGCAAGGTATCAGCTCGGAGTACTTCATATCACAGATCTACAATCAAACACGCCAACACTCTCCAACATCAAACGACATCCAAATCCGCCAATTCGAGGAAAAACGGAACTGAACTTACCGGAATGGTTCTGGGTAGTTCCAGATTCTGGAGGGAGTCATCGTCGAAGTGCTGGGGACCGGGCAGTGAACCGAGGACCGGGTCAGAGCCGTCGCGGCGGAGGGATTCTGGGTCCGATCCGGGCGCGAAGGAAGAGCCGTAGTATAAACAGAGTAGGCCGAGAAAGAGGATGACGATCAGGAGAAGGTAAGTGATTAGCTTGGACGACCGAAGCTGGTCGCTTTTCTGCCTCATTCTTCTTCTTCTTCTTCGTTCCGATTGAATCGGTGGAGGGTTAAAACTGAAAAGACTTGAACTTTCGATGGAAATGAATTGAATTCGAAAAGCCCTGGTGGATTGGAAGCTTGAAACTGAACCGGTAAGAAAGGAATCTGATTTCTGCGAGCTTTTTTCAGCTGCTTTGCTTCTTGCTGGGCTGGCTACTACTACTAGTCTGCTTCTGCTAGACTACTACTGAGCACTGAACTGTTCTGTCGTCTGAAAGGGCGGGGAAGAATCAGGTGAGGTCGAGCTCAGTGGTGCGAGTGGAGGAATTGGTTTGGTTGACGTTTCGGTTTGATTCAATAAAGCCGGCCAGCCCCAGTGAGGCCCAAATAGGTGGGCTGGAGCGTTGATGTCTAGAGTCCATTGGGTTAATATGGATCAGTGGCCGTCTGGCCGACCTTTACTCTTTCTCATTATTGCTCCGACGAGTTTTGATCCTAGTGGTTCTCGGGTTAATTGCAAGTTTGGTCACTGGATTTACAAAAAAGGTTCACGTTTGGTCACTAAAAATATTTAAATTCATTCGTGGTCACTAAAATTAGTTCAATAGTTCGACTTTGGTCACTCTCCGTCCAAGTCCGTTAACTTTCGCTGATGTGGCAGTCAACTTTAAAAGTTGACCGTTAAGTGACTGACGTGGCAATTATAAAATAATAAAATAAATAAAATTTAATATTTTACTATTTCCACATCATTTTCACAATAAATAAATAAATATAAAAGAAAAATCAGAAAATAAGATAAAATAACATCCCTTCACCTCCTCTCTTCTCCACCGAATCTTCATTCACCCAAAATTCAACTTCCCAATCACTGTCTTCCTCCTCATCCACTCAATTCCTTCTTTTTCCCTCTCTCCTTCAGTATATCTCACTCATCACTCCAAGGCCCCAACCCTACCACTAATTCACCGGCCTTTACCAAATAGAAATCCCCCAAACCCACCCCTTTCCATCCCCCTCCTCTCTTCCAATTTACAGAACCAAAAAGAGAAACCTAGGTTGAGACAAACACCCACATCTCTTCAATCCTACCTCTCTCTGCATCTTGATTCATACCAAAACAAGCGGCACCAGCGCCAAATAGACCTCCGTTGATTCCTTCTTGCAAGTGATTAAAAACGCGAAGATTGCGGCGAAGATTGCGGCGTAGTTGCTCCAATGGCATGATTGAAGGAGACCGGGAGGTAGTGGAGGGAGGTGTTGTCTCAAAAGAAGAGAAGCAGAAGATGGCAGAGAGGGCGAAGATCTCCAAGAACTGGCGGCGGGTTCCGGGCTATGCCGACATTGAGATATGTTCGTCAAGGGGAATCGGGGTTGTTGTTGTTGTTGTTGTTGTTGAGGGGTTACCTTTGGAACAGAGCTTCAAATCTGGGGCCGAGGGTTTAGTGCGGATTCTGGGAGGAATATCCGGATGGAGAAGAGAGGAGGTGAAGGGATCTTTGGCCGGAAAACCGTCGATCAGAATGCAAGAGAGACTAGAAGTATTTTACCTTATTTTCTGGGTTTTATTTATTTTTATTTTTTGTGAAAATGATGTGGAATAGTAAAATATTTTATTTTAATTATTTTTTAATTTTTTAATTGCCACATCAGTTATTTAACGGTCAACTTTTAAAATTGACTGCCACATCAGCGAAAGTTAACGGACTTGGACGGAGAGTGACCAAAGTCGAACTATTGAACTAATTTTAGTGACCACGAATGAATTTAAATATTTTTAGTGACCAAACGTGAACCTTTTTTGTAAACCCAGTGACCAAACTTGCAATTAACCCAGTGGTTCTCCTTCTCCAAAGATTATTGGAGAGGTGTTGGTAAGTTATCGAGCTACTCGCTCTTGGTTTCCAGCATTTCTTTTGGCTCTCGGACATCCCGCAAGTGTCCGCCTTTTCGTCGTTCTGCATCGCCGATGATTTCACCCGGAGTAAGTAACATTTCTCACTTACACTCTCTATAGAGACTGCATTTCCGTCGATGAGATGAATTCTTTTCTAGGCTAGAAGAGGTAGCTGATGGAACCTATGAGATGGATTTCCAATTTCACAAGCATTTGGAGGACTGGGCAACATTTATAATGTAATTATAAAATTATATTGATTATTGATGTAATTATATCAATATCGACACGTTATCGATATGCAACTAATTAATGGCACTTAGAAGCTGATTTATGCAAAAAGAGAACATATTTTTACGTTTGAATCTTGTGACCCAAGATTGCCAACAAAATTTAATTATCTACTTTAAACAAGTAACTAATGGTACATAAATAAAATGCAATGTCCTTCTTCCTCACATGATCAGACAACTCCGATCTGTCTCCAAGGAGAAATTCGCAAAAATCCCATCATCATTTTTGTCTAGACGATTCCCCACGAATTGAACAAAACGGTCGACCTATACGCTTATGCGGTCAATCGAATATACTATTTATCGTTTTGCTACATTCAACAAGCGGTTGACCTGATGTCTCACAAATTGATCTGATGGCTCAAGTGGCCGACCGTTTCTAAAAAATGATAGACCTCAAGTTGGCTTTTTGTACCCGAACTCTTTTTGTTAGTAATTGCTTAACTTCCTTTTGCATATTGATTTAAAAATTCGATTCCAATTTTATAGGATTGATAATGTAGAAACAAATATGGACGATGGTACTCAGAATGTCGAGGATGAAGAAATAAACATGGACCATGGTACTTAGTGTGTCAAGCATGAAGAAATAAACATGGACGATGAAGATGACATTCATAGTGGGAGGAAGAAGATAAATGTATCTCAACAAATCTGAGCACCAAAATTTTAGCAGTATCAAACGGGATAGCTTGTAAGACGATTTGGTTTAAAACAACTATGATTGTGGATATCATTGTAGTTTTAGATTTGAGATATGTATGAACTATTGTGAGGTGTGTTTATTGTGTTTTGGTGTTAATGATTAACCTTTCAAGAAGATATGGTTCTTGCCACTATTATTGTCAATTGAATTTCATAATTTCTATGGTAGTTTGTTAGATTTTAGAAGATGCATGACATTCTGGATCCTATGAGGTCCACTGGACCATTTATAGAGGTTGATCGTAATAGGCAACAACTCAAGGTTGTTGTTCTTGTACAAAGTCAACCGTAAAACAAATCATTTTAATATGCCAAGAGGATGGTTTGTTAAATTTGAGGGTAGAGGGTAGTTCTGTGTAGTCGACCTCTTCTCTGAAATGGTCGACCTCTTATTGATATGGTCAACCACTTAATCAAAAAGGTCGATTGTTCTGCTTTTAAGTGGCTTATGCACGATCGACTAATCCAAGTTAAAAATCAACCGATTCAAATTAAAGGTCGACCACAATCTTTAATAAGAATGAACACATCGGTGTAATCAATTAATCACAGTTATTTAAAGTTCAGTCGTTTTGTCCAAATCAATAACTTGCAAGTAAATAATCAAATTTTTATACGGGCTGGAAAAAGTTAAACTTCGGAATCTTTAACAATTTATGTAAAAAAATGCCTAACAACTAAGAAGTATTTAAAAATATAATCGTGGAGTGTTTACTTGGCATACCATTGCCGCGAAACTTCACTCTTGCCAATCATCGCAATTGGCACCCGCTGCCTTCCACTCCGCCATTGTTAATCATTTCCCTGACCCAGAAAAGGCCCAAAATCTCAGTCTCGCCAAAAAAGCTTCTTCACTTTCTTCCGCTCCCCTTTTCCCTTCCTTTTCTTCCCCTTTCACGGAAGACCAACACCAAGAAACAAGACAGTCTCGATTCCGGAATCCGATTCAGATCCGCCTTTGCAGAACCTCCCGGTTTGCTACTAATCCACTCAACACAAATAATCTACTGTGGCAGACTGAAACTTTCACGCATCAAGTTTCTTCGACGATGCTACACCATCTCTTTCGTCTCCATCCTGCTTTATAAACAGAGGTCAGTATACATATACGAAACCTAGGTCTTCTATAATTATCGAGGAATGCCAGTTGGGCCTTTGTAATCTATCGGTCTTCGCCTGGTAGGTTTCCGAACGGTGGATTGTAGTTGATTGTCGGCGAAGCTACCTAAGCCAGTTTTGGCATTCTGCCAAAATCAGAGTCGTGGCCGCTAGTTCTGTATATAAGCATTTATAACGTTTCTGACAGGAGAGACAAAAGGGGAAAGAGAAATATTAGGCGCAAAAAAGGAACTTTAACCGATAAGAAATCGGTGAGGGTTAGGGAAGGGAAGCCGAGTTACGTGAGCGAGTCTAGCAGCCAGCAGCCTCTTGAAGAGTCGTTCTTTGTTGGCTAAGTAAGCTAATTTGGTTGCTTCCTGGATGTTTCATCTCTTTTACCAAAACCCCAAACTTGTTATTATATCTTTCTCTGCAAGTTGAAACCGCCATTCATATCGTGCTTTTAGGAGAAACTTGACTTGCTCGAGGCTTTGGGTATCTTGGATTGTTGAGTGTTCGAGATAAAGAGAGAGGCTTTATTGATTTTTGTTGCAGAGTATTGTGAATTTTTCATGGGAGCAAAGAACTCGAGGGAAGGGAGCTGGAGATCTGATTCCTCTGTAAGGTCTGCGGCGGCATCTTCATGGGATTACGTTCAACAACCTTATTATGGGCAGCCGTATGGTCAAGACGGCTATGGATATGTCTATCCGCCACCCCAGCAACCTCCCACACAGCCGAACTATCCTCCACCGGCTCAAGTGGGAGGTGGTGATAGAAGGCGGCTTGATAGAAAGTATTCGATAATTGCCGACGACTATAAATCCTTGGACCAGGTAAAGTGTTTACAAGATTATGTTTGTCTGTTTGTTGTTTATTGGATGAGAATTGGCTGGCTATGCATGCAATTGGATTTTAAGGACGTCCTTCAATCTTACCTCCTGGTTTGAGGTAATATAGGCTTTTGATCATTCTGGTATGGTTCTTTGCAGGTGACTGAAGCTCTTGCACGTGCTGGACTTGAATCATCAAATCTCATTGTTGGAATTGACTTCACGAAGAGCAACGAGTGGACAGGTATATGTTTCCGTTGTATGCCTTGATATGTAAATTAGGATGCATTGTGGATTGTGGAACATGCTGCTTAATATGGTTTGATCACTAGGTGCAAAGTCTTACAACAGAAAAAGTTTGCATCACATTGGAGATACCTTGAATCCCTATGAGCAAGCAATTTCTATTATTGGGAAGACTTTAGCTGCCTTTGATGAGGACAACTTGATTCCCTGCTACGGATTTGGAGACGGTAGGGTCTCAACTCTAACAATTGTTTTCTATAATTGAATTACAACGCAACTTGTGTTACTGAGAGTTACTACAATACTACTATCCGTTGGCAGCTACGACACACGATCAGGATGTCTTCAGTTTCTATCAGTATGAGAGGTTCTGTAATGGATTTGAAGAAGTTTTAAGCCGATACAGAGAAATTGTTCCAAGCCTGAGACTTGCAGGTTTGGTTTACATGTTCCCCGAGTCATATTTGTTTTCCATGGATAGAATTACCACAGTAATTTATTTTTGGAGCTTATGCATCCTTTTTTTTTTGGCAGGTCCGACTTCATTTGCACCTGTCATTGAGAAGGCAATGACTATTGTTGAGGAGAGTGGTGGCCAGTATCATGTATTATTGATAATAGCAGATGGGCAGGTAATTCGCCTCAGTATATGATAAAAATTATATAACAGATAATAATTGTCAATGAGAATCTGTATTTTATAATCACGTTCTTACCATGTCACAGGTTACTAGAAGTGTTGACACTGAGCATGGGCGGCTAAGTCCACAGGAGCAGAAGACAGTTGATGCCATTGTACAAGCCAGGTAAACAATCTGTTACATGGTTTCCTCTGTTATTTTCCTTCCTTATACATGTTCCTGTGTTTCACTGTTGAGTGGAATGTGCCACTTGTTTCCTGATCATGGATTTCCTATCCTGCAGCAAGCTTCCCTTGTCTATTGTTTTGGTAGGGGTTGGGGATGGCCCATGGGACACGATGAAGGAGTTTGATGATAACATCCCTGCTAGAGAGTTTGATAATTTCCAGGTAATGGGATCGCTTCCATTAGTTTCTCTTTTCCCACTCATTATGATCATCTTCAGAAAACGATAAAAATCTGAACTTTTATTCATGTAGTTTGTAAATTTCACGGAGATTATGTTGAAGAACGTGGACCAATCCCGCAAGGAGACACAGTTTGCACTCTCTGCTCTCATGGAAATTCCTCCTCAATACAAGGCAACGATGGAGCTTGGTTTATTGGGGTAACGGCTCAGCTACTTCTTTGCTTCTCTGTTTGTCAGGATTAATTCTTATCTTCCTATATATGAGCTTCTTCCTTCCTTTTGTCCGCTCGGGCATACATGAGTTTATTTTGAGTTAAAGATCACGACTTCATGGACTGAGTTGGGAAAGCCTCTACCGGGATCCCCTCAATGAGACACCTGTAAAGATATAATTGATGCCCCTCCATGCCTTCCTCCAGACATCTTTCTTTCATCTATTATTTTCTGTACTAAATTCTTTTTCTTTCAAATCTGCAGTCGTAGAAAGGGAAATATTCCTCAGAGGGTTGCACTCCCACCTCCTGTCTATGGGTCCTCATCCTTTAGTAACTCCAAATCTTTCCAGTCTACTACCAGCTCCAAATCTTTCCAGCCTACTACCAGCTTTAATCCTACTGTACCGGTTTATGAACCAGACACCCATCCGATCAGCTCAGCACCGCCAGTCACAAGTTCAACCTACGAAAACCAGGTTAGTTACTTATGCTTCGGCCAATTTTTCCGCATAACCAAGAGTTTTTTTTTATTGCAGTGGCAGCCTCAAATGACACACATTTTTGTGGTCTGTTTAACTGTACAGCTTTGCCCTATCTGCCTCAGCAACGCGAAGGACCTGGCATTCGGCTGTGGGCACCAAGTGCGTATTTTTTCTTAGTAGTTCCTTCTTCTTTGTGCTTTTATCTGTGAGAAACTTGAGATTGAATGGAGGTTGATTGATATTTGGGTTTGATGGTTCTTTTTTTGTGTGGCTTCAGACATGTCGCGAGTGTGGCGAAAACGCAAACCTTCAACTGTGCCCTATCTGCCGGACTCCAATCAGCACAAGGATAAAGCTCTATTAAACCGTGGGACGAAGGATGAAGGGTTTGCCTGCCTTTTGTAACTAATGTGTGGCTTTCTCCAGTAATACTACAATTCGTTTATTCAATGTTATTATTTTGGATCTGCTGGTTTCAGTTGTAGGCTTGAAATTTGTACATACAGAAATGGAAAACCATTTTTCTCCAGTTTCAAGATCTCTAACGCCCAATTTGGTTCCCCTTCTTATGAGTACTATTTTCTGAATGAATATAAACAGATAGAAGCTTAAAAACCAGCGAGAGAGCAGGTATTGAGAATGTGAGAATGTTGATTACAGAATTTACTGTAGATGCGGTATTCTTTTGGGAACATAGTCATCTCATTAAATGCTTGCTTGGCTGTATTTCATCATCCCCTGTGGCTTGTGTTGCCTTCACTGTCTAATGTCCAGCTTTTAAGAGTAGTCCAAGGAGTTTGATAAGTAGCATATTTTCTACATGTATAAAACTAGGAGGCTAGGGCAAATGGTGTTTTGGGTTATGATTTCAGTTCTTGGTTGTCGTCTCTAATGTCATTGAGGTATCTCTGAATTTCATGCTATCAAACTATTTGTATAATTTTTCTAATCATGTGTGAATAGTGTTTGTGTTGTAATCTTCGGGGGAGAACAACTCCAAAATGAACCGCCTTGAAAGCATAATGAGTGTCCTATTTATAGGTGTCTCATTCTTCTGACGTGGGTGGTGTGTAAAAAATAATATTCTTTTATCTCCCAACCAATATATTTCGTGCAATGCTCGAGTGAGTGTAAAAAAAAACTAGAGCACCCAACCAATTCTTTTATAGATAAAAGCTGGATACACTTTATTGGTCAAACTTCATTTTCACTGTTTCACTTTTTGTCATTTAGTGAGTTCTCTCTTCCCAACTCTCACTAAAAAGGCCTTCAAAACTGTCAAAAAAGAGAACAACAAAAACGTTGAACTACCCCTTATAGATAAAAGCTGGATACACTTTAGTGAGTAATCTTTTCCCAACTCTCACTAAAAAAGCCTTCAAAACTGTCAAAAAAGAGAACAACAAAAACGTTGAACTACCCCAAAATAGAACTCAAAATAAAACTTTCACCTTCCCCTCTCTTTCTGCCTCCCACTGACAAATCCTTCTCGTACACTCTTCCCTCTCCATCTACATCACTCCCATTTCCAATCCCAAAATTTCTTCCATAATCATCTCTTCACACATTCGGTTCCCTCTCCACTGTCCATTTACATCACTCCCACTCTCAAGCCTCAATTTTCTTCCATAATCAGAAAAATAACTTTCCAGTCTGCACCATCAGCTCTCCCTTTCCTTCTCTGCCTCTCCGGTCCATTTACCTCCATTCCACATGTTTCCTCTTACCCACCAAAAGTCTGAAACCCTTGCCTAGCTATCATTCATTTCTTACCTATTTCCCCAAAATGAGCTCAGAAAAATCCATACATAAATCAGCTGCCACCTCCAATTCTCGGTTCCTCCTCCGGTCGACGACTGCACCACGGTTGATGGAGGTCTTTGTGCGCATGTCCACAAACTTGAGAATGAATGGTATGATCCCCTCCCATTGCCTCCCTGTTCTTGCTGCCTCCATGTTCTTGTCTCATCTCTACTACAGTTCTATATTTTGAGATTGTTTACTTTTTTGGTGAAGGTGAAGCTTTCATTCAAAACATGGAAAGGAGCAGAAACGGAACACAGGAAAACATAGAAGAAAGAAGAAGAAACAGCAAGGGTCAAGAGAACTGACCAAAGCGTAAAAGCAATCCAACAAAAAATCCCGCAAAACAACAGCAAAGGAAATGGGTTCGTTGTTATCAAAGATGCCGCCTTTGCAACGTCGAAGAAGAGACTCCTGGTGAGCTCTGTATTGTTACCTTTTCCAGTTTTTTTGTCCAAGTCCATGGATACTTAAAAAATATTTCTCCTTCAATTTTCATATCTGCTTCACAACCAAACTGTTCGATGGATATGCTTCCGACGACGCTGCTGAAATGGGCGACAAGTTTGCACAAATAAACAAGAGGATATACCGCTTCCGGGGTCTATACTCCCTGTCGACGACGGGCGTGCAGCTGACGCCTTAGGAGTGTGCGACGAATGGGATGGCTGGTCGGAACCGGTACCACCACCTGGACTTTGCTTCTCTGCCTCTCGAACCTACTTCTCTTTTCCCAACGCCAGCCATGGAACTGTTCAATAATACCATATGATAAAATCGGGATAATATTCGGAATCTTCACTGGGGAATTTCTTTTCTCTTTCTGGTTGATGCAATTGGTAGATTTGAATGTTGGGTCGTTTTCGAAGTTGGAAGGGAGGACGCATCACAACTTTATGTCGTCTAGCCATACAGATATGGTAGTCCATGGTTCAAAACTATATGTATGATCTTGGCTGATTTCTATTTGTTGATGAAAATGTAGGACTATGTGGAGGTAACGCTTCACTCATGGAAGAGTTTGGTGTTCGGTTGTTGACGTATGATTTTCCCAAGTTTGGTGGGAGTGATGCTCATCCATGTTGCATATCATCAATATCATGTTAAGCACATAATGCACTCCCAAGGTTAGCATAACAGCTCTTCTTCTCCTCTCTATCTCTTAACACACAGTTATCTCTCTATCTCTTAACACACAGTTATCTTTGACAGTAAACACCACCCCTATCTCTAGGAATAGATTATGATGTTTCTTCATTTTTGTTTAATTTGATTTTGGATGCATGTTTTGCAGGTTTCAGTACTAAGGGATTTTAGGTTATATTCTTCTTGGAACCTACTAATCTTTTAAGGTTTGCTTATGGTAGGTTGATGTGGTTAATTGCTAATTTAATGGTTTGGGCGTGCTAACTTCGGCAACCTGATGGCTTTTGTGGCCTGTGAAACTGAGTCTTCGGATTATTGGGACTTTCTGGGTTTTCCTGGGGTGTTATACTTATTTAGAGATTTTTGCTGAGATGAGATTTTAGCTTTGTTAGAGTTAGCCATTTGAACTCTTAGGCAAAGGTTCAAGTGTTTCTACTAACACTGTTTACAATCTAAAATATGGATAATTGTAACTCCTATGTTCCATCACTAATTCTCATAAAAAGTAAACATTAATGATAGTTCGTTTAAAAATTGTTATTAGTTTTCTGGGACATGGTTTATTGTATGATTGTGTCCAAATGGTAATTAACTTTGCATTCTCTAACTCAACCACTCTTTGTGAGCTCTATACCTTTTGGTCTGTGCTGAGGGTTTCCTTTGTCTGTTTTGTGCTTTACTTTTTCCTTTCAGGATATGTTGAGTCTGCTCATTGCATCAAAATTCGAATGTAGTTTGAGTTATATCTCTTATTTACAATGTTCATTTGTCATGTTGCATTAAAAGTGTGGAAGGTCATTTGAGAGTGAGTTACTTTGATAGATTATTGAAATAATTTTTTTCCTTTTTTGTAATGGTTTAATGTGAGTCTTCTTCTTGGAATTGTCAGACGAAAAATTCCTTACCAATAAACAGTTGTTCATATCCACTGGAGCAGCTACCCCAATTTTCTCATTCTGCTCACCTTGAAACAACTTCTCTGTACTTCTACAACTAGATGTTGCTATTGAGGTAAATTTTTGTTTCTGTATTCTTATGTTAGAACGTGTTACATAACTAATTGGAAAGCATTTCATCTCTAACACCAAAACTTAAAGCACTCATAAATATGGACACACTTTGTGTACTGAATCAATAGTTTTGATAAGTAATTAATCAACTCAACTATCCAATTATTCAGAAGTTTTTTTATGACCTTTCTCTGTCGTGGTAAAGCTATTAAACAACTATTTTTACAAAAAAATATTGGTAACATGTAAACAACTGTTTCAAGTATTTGCAAAGATCTTGAAATATTAAGTCTTCTTATTGTTTACCTTCGCTATAAAATCTTCATCATTAGCATCATTTTATTTAATGATTTCTCCCTTCTCTCATAGACATTGTCACAATGAAATTCAGGTTGCTCTGGTAGTGATTTCGGTAGAAAAGGAAGAACATAACAGGATGATGATGACGGGGGAATTGAAAATGGAACTAGGTGTAAATTGCAGTCGAGCATTTTGAAGCTTCAAAAACGGCCTAACAATTGCATGGTTAAGAAGGTTATTAGTGGTTGCTCTGGAAGAGATTTCGGTAGAAAAGGAAGAACATAATAGGATGATGATGATGAGGGGGGAACTGAAAATGGAACAAGGTGTAAGTTGCACCCAAGCAATTTGAAGCTTCAAAAACGCCCCAACAATTGCATGGTTAAGTAGGTTATTAGAGAAGTTAATTTGGTTTTTGCTCCTCTTAAACAATGTTTCGTTTTGCAGGCGTCGGAAGAAATTATGCTGGATCACCATCTGGGAGGCTTCTCTAGATTCTCAGGTTCTTCTTTATTATGCCGTTGCACATCAATATGGCTTGACTTGCAGATGCTACTAACAGGAGGTAGAGGGAATATCACAGCAAGGAGGAGATTTTGTCACAACTTTGTGTCCCCTTTAAGCTGGAGGCAATGGCTGGAACTTATTACTTTGCAAAGAATTGAGTTGATCCATCTGAATTTGTCATTTCTGAGTAGTTATTTGTATGGAGGGCCTGCTATATTATATAGAATTACTAGAACTTGATACTATAAGAATTTAGTAAATTCGTCGTGCGTAACAAGAATGTCTAACTTCCTAACAATACAAATGGTACTTACTTTTTTGTATAACATCCAACTCTTTGTGTTTTCACTATGCTACTAAATCTCTCGCGGTGTAGCCGTGGATATTGATACTAGTCCATGTAAAGAGCAATGGTTGGTTGGTTGTATCGAATAAAGAAACAAACATATGACCCTTAACTTAAATGAGTGGGTGAAAATTGCTTACCTTGCTCTTCTCCCTCTCCACGTGTAGTAAGTGGGGAGATGGTTTGGTTAGTGTAGGTAACTAGATGATTAATCAAGTAATCATCCACCTCATGTTTTCTACTAAGCCACGTATATAAGTAGTGGGAGGTGGGCCAATGTGATTGTTTGAGGGCTTATGAAACCACACAATGACATGGCAAATATGTCTCTCATTTTGCTCCACGTGTAATTAGCAGGGTATCATAAGCCATTTTTCAACCATCAATCAAATTAGCTTTTACACATGGAAAGGAAATTGATGAGGTACCAAGTGTTTATGAGCCCATGTAAATGAGATGGTGGGTGGTAACTGGTTAATGTCATGTCTCTTTAAATGCAATATTTTCACCTTCCTTCCA